ATGAGTTTCGATCCAAGGGCCCTTGTTAGTAAACTGCCTTTTGCCATTGCATCAAGTAAGTCTCTCGTGTCTCCTTGGGTGCGCGCTAATTGGGACTTGAGTTGGGGTCCTCTTCCTGGGTCCTTACAATACACAATGGAAAATTAAAAGTTACTTAAAAGGTACATACATCAATAAGCCAGGCATGGTGATTCCCACATTGGAAGGCTGGAGCAGGAGGACTGCAAATTTAAGGCTAGCCTCAGCTATAGAATGAGAGGCTCAAAACAAACAAGCATAGGGCATGGTTTGAATATGCTTGCCCAGGAAGTTGGCATTATTAGGAGGTGTGGCCTTGTTGGAGTAGGTGTGGAAGTGCGTCACTGTGGCCATGGTCTTGAAGAACGTCGTCCTAGCTGCCTGGAAGTCAGTCTTCTCCTGTTTTGCCTTCAGATGAAGATGTAGAACTCTCAGCTCCTCCTGCACCATGCCTGCTTGGACTCTTGCTATACTCCCACCTTGATGATAATGGACTGAACCTCTGAACTGTAAGCCAGTCCCAATTAAATGCCGTCCTTATGCTTTGGTCATAGTGTCTATTCACATCAGTAAAATCCTAAGACAGCAGGAAAGATGGCTCAGTGACACAGGCACTTGCCGCTAAGCCTCAAAACTTGTGTTTGCTCCCCAGGACCCACAGTGGGGAAGGAAAGAACCAATTCCCACGAGCTGCTCACCAATCTCCACATACAAGTAGGAGCATGCGTGTGTCCTCAAACATACATAAAACTTAAAATAGATCAAGCCAGACCCCTTGCCCACTCTTCAGCTAAAAATGTGGGAAGTTCTGCTGTGTCAGGACTTCTTATCTTTCTCACTTCCTTAAGTCTTCTGGCATGAGCTCCACGGGTTAAGTTGTGCAACTGAACAAAGTACTTAGTTATAAATCGAAGAAAAGATTAAAGTTTTGGAATAAGCAATCAGTAAAAGTTGATAACCATGTTGGAACCGGCTTGTGCATATGACAGTGGGGGCTACTGAGATAGCTTCCTGTCCTTTCAGGCGTCTGAACTGTCTGATAGCACCTGAGGCCCCATGGGACACCTGACTTGGGGCAAAAACAGCTGCTGCAGTTATTTTCCCCAAACTTCTTTCTTATTTTCCTGTGTGTAGAGAGCATGCGCTTCCCAGCACCTTTTAGCTCTGTCTTTAAGGTTTTCTTTCTTTTTTTCTTATATTTTTTTAAAGATCCATTAATTTATTTTATTTATATGAGTACACCATTGCTCTCTTCAGACACACCAGAAGAGGGCATCGGATCCCATTACAGATGGTTGTGAGCCACCATGTGGTTGCTGGGAATTGAACTGGGGACCTCTGGACGAGCAGTCGGTGCTCTTAACTGCTGAGCCATTTCTCCAGCCCTCCTTTCTTTTCTATCTTTTTTTTTTTTTTAAAGATTTATTTGACCGGGCAGTGGTGGTGCACGCCTTTAATCCCAGCACTTGGGAGGCAGAGGCAGGCAGATTTCTGAGTTGGAGGCCAGCCTGGTCTACAGAGTGAGTTCCAGGACAGCCAGGACTACACAGAGAAACCCTGTCTTGAAAAAGCAAAAAAAAAAAAAAAAAAAAAAAAAAAAAATTATTTGTTTTATGTGAGTACACTATCACTGTCTTCAGACATGATACACCAGAAGAGGACATCAGATCCCACTACAAGATGGTTGTGAGCCACCATGTGGTTGCTGGGAATTGAACTCAGGACCTCTGGAAGAGCAGTCAGTGTTCTTAATCACTGAGCCATCTCTCCAGCTCCTTGTTTGTTTCCCTCTACCTCTTTTCTCTTCCTCCTTCTCCTCTTCCTTCTCCTTCTTCTTGGCTAGTTCTCTGGTACATTTGGTCTGTCCCCATGTCCTGCTGTTTCTTCTTCAGGGAGGCTCCCTAGGTTCACACCACTCTGAGTTTACACCCACACCTACAGGTGTGACTCTCTTAGTCTCTGAATGATCACAGAAGTATTCTCTCTACATCAAATGTTGTAACTAGATGTGGCAGAATATTTATTGATTTGGCACATGACACATTAGCCCACTAGTGTCTCAAGTGTAATTTAATTTCTATAGTTGTCAGCATACAACCAGAGGATGACACAATCTGCATTTCCAGGTTTTCTTGAAAGCTCAGAAGTTCTGGCCATACCAGGCCCAAAGTCCCAGGGATAACAGCATATCAGACATAAGCTCTGAGAAGCCCAGTGTTCTTGTTCCCTCGACACAGCCAAACATGATCTGAGAGAAGCCTCTGTTTGAGGAATTTTCTAGATCGGTGAACATGTCAGTGACACAGTGTATTGATTATTAATTGCTGTAGGAGGGCCTGGCCTACTGTGAATGGCACCCTTCCTTGGGTGGATGGTTCTGAGCGGTAAAAGAAAGCTAGCCAGGTATGGCGGCACACACCTTTTATCTCAGCACAGGGCAGGCAGAGGCAGACATATCTCTTGTGAGTTTTAGGCCAGCCTGGTCTACATAGTATCAAGCCAGCTGTCGTTATGCAGTGATATCCCAACTACAAAAACAAACAAATAAATATTTAAAAGTAAAATAAATGAAAGCCAGTTAAGCATGGACGTGAGTGAGCCAAAATGCGATCCTCGGATGGCTCCTGCCTTGAATTCCTGATCTGACTGCCCTCAATCAAAGTCATGACCTGGAAGTAGAAGCCAAATAGACACTTTCCTCCCTAGGTTGCTTGTGGCCAGCGTTTTATCACAGCCACAGAACTCTGAGCTAGCTAATTGGTTTGTCAACTTAACACAAACTAGAGTCATCTGGCCAGTGGGACCATCAATTGAGAAAATGCTCCTATTGGACTGGCCTATTGGTAAGTCTGTGGGGACATTTTCTTGAACAATGATTGGTGCAGGAGGGCCAAGCCCACTGTGGGTGGTACCACCCTGAGTAGGTGGTCCTAGGTGGGGGAAAAAAAAACAACAAAAAAACAAAAAACAAAACCAAGCTGAACAAGTCATGGAAGCAAGGCAGTAGGAGATGAATATCTACGGCTTCTGCTTCAGTTCCTGCCTCCAGGTTCCTGCCTTGACTTCCGAAGATGGACTGTGACCTGCAAGCCAAATAAAGTACTTTATGTCCAAGTTGCTTTTTGGCTATGATGTTTTTTTTTTGTTTGTTTTTTTTTTTGTTTTTTTTTCGAGACAGGGTTTCTCTGTATAGCCCTGGCTGTCCTGGAACTCACTCTGTAGACCAGGCTGGCCTCGAACTCAGAAATCCGCCTGCCTCTGCCTCCCAAGTGCTGGGATTAAAGGCGTGCGCCACCACTGCCCGGCGGCTATGATGTTTTAACACAGCTACATAAAGTAAGAGAAATACCCACTCTCCTTAGTTCTGAGAACCAAACCCAGGACTTCACACATATTAGGTAACTACTCAACCACTTTTCACATTTATTTTTTAAAGCTTGTATGCATGGGTATTTTCCTTGCATGGTGTACCACATATGGGCCTGGTGCCTACAGAGGCCAGAAGAGGGAATCCAATGTCTGGAAACAGAGTCACAGAAGGTTGTGAGGCGCCATGTGAGTGCTGAGAATTGAACCCAAGGTCTCTGGAAGGGAAGATAAGTGTTCTTAACCACTGGGCCATTTCTGCAGCTTCACTGTTACTGTTGTTGTTAATTAGTATTTGAGATAAGGTATGGCCACAATGAATACAAGAAGATTAACTGTTGGTTGGTCTCATTTACCAACAAGGTGCTTGATTTACTCAGATTTCTGATATCTCCAATTCTATTCTAATAGTCATATAATCTAATACTAATCTCAAACAAAGGCCATCTATTTATTGAATAGCACAGTAAATACGGTATCTAAAGTGATGAGGAATTCTTGTCATAATCAATTTTTTTTGTTTGTTTGTTTTTGTTTTTCGAGACAGGGTTTCTCTGTGTAGCCCTGGCTGTCCTGGAACTCACTCTGTAGACCAGGCTGGCCTCGAACTCAGAAATCTGCCTGCCCAAGTTCTGGATTAAAGGCGTGCGCCATCACTGCCTGGCGTAATCAATCTTTTACAGGACTCTTCCAAAGAACATCGTCTTCCTGGCCCTCCTGAGGCGATTGGAACAGCACTCAGGTACCACAGCATGTGTGTGGAGTTCAAAGGATGACCTGGAGGAGCTGATTCTCTGTCCCCAAAGTGTATCCCGAGATTGAACTCGGTTCCTCAGGCTTGATACCAAGTGCCTTTAGGAGCTAATCTCGAAGTTTTAAATACCTTTTGTTTTTGTTTGTTTGTTTGTTTTAGACAAGGTCTCTTTAGCCTAAGCTGCTCTGGAACTTGAGATTCACTGCCCCTGCCTTCTAGAAGTGCTGGGATCAAAGGTATGCCAGTCAGCTTCTAAGTTTTCACGAAGGCGTACAGAGAGTTTTGGATTCCATCCCTACACACCTTTGCCGTAAATTATTACAAAGTGTACAGATTATTTTTAATGCTATCTTCATCATAGCTCAGGCACAAATTTCTCCAGCATCCTAAGACGCAATACATCCTCAATTTGACAAGTCACACAATTCTTACTAATTTATCCAGGCAACATCCTCTAAGACCTTAGGTCAATAGCATTGCTATTCAAAGTGTGGGATCTGTAAATCCGTAGCCTCTTGTTTATGGCAGGCTTGGTGATTCCCTGCAGTGTGGGAGGCTGGAGGACTGCAGCAAATTTGAAATCAATTTGAACTACAGAGGGAGTTTAAGGCTAGCCTGGGCTACAGCAAGGCGACCAAGTCGAAAACAGAAACTAGAGGTGCACGGCTCATACATTCTTCAAGGGATCATAAACTTTCTTTCCTTTCAAAGATGGGGTTCCATGCACCCCAGGCTGGCCTGGACTTCACTAAGGTCCTGCCCCTCCACCTCTCCGAGGCAAGGGCTGAGCACCTCCCCTCAGGCACGCCCATCTGTCTCGGACGTGGAGGCCAGTCGGACGGGGCGGGCCGCGGCCGGCGTCCCCGCCTCCCTTGCTAGGCCTGCCGCGTCGCGCGTCCTCGGCTCTGGGCTCAGGTTAGCGGGCCACGCGCGATGGGGCCCCGCAGCCCCGCGGCCGCGTGGCTGGTGCTGCTGTGTGTCGGGTGCGCGCTGTCCCCGGGGCGCGCGCAGTACGAGCGCTACAGCTTCCGCAGCTTCCCGCGGGACGAGCTGATGCCGCTCGAGTCGGCCTACCGCCACGCGCTCGACCAGTACAGCGGCGAGCACTGGGCCGAGAGCGTGGGCTACCTGGAGGTGAGCCTGCGGCTGCACCGTCTGCTGCGCGACAGCGAGGCCTTCTGCCACCGCAACTGCAGCGCGGCCGCGCCCGCGCCGGCGCCCGCCGACCCCGCCGGCCCCGTCGAGCTGCGCCTCTTTGGCGGCGTGCTGCGCCGCGCGCAGTGCCTCAAGCGCTGCAAGCAGGGCCTGCCCGCCTTCCGCCAGTCGCAGCCCAGCCGCGCGGTGCTGGCTGACTTTCAGCAGCGCGAGCCCTACAAGTTCCTGCAGTTCGCCTACTTCAAGGTAAGTGAGCTCGCCCTACCCCGAGCCCCGGCCCGCCCCGCGAAACCCCGCCCACTCCAGCACAGAGCCCCTCCCCGTTGAGCCCAGGTCGCTGTCCCCGAGCCCCGCCCACCGATCCCCTTCCGGCTGAACTTAGATCCCCGCCCTTAAGTCCTGCCAGCTCCCAGACCGCTTCTGCCCCACCCTAACCCCCTCCAAACCGCCCCCAGTCCCCGCCCACCCAAGCCCCGCCCATCATATCTCCTGTCCTGGGTGCACGACCCTCCCCCTCTGCACAATCACTCTCCCTCAAAACTTGGCCCGACTGACCAGGCTCCCATCTTGCCCCAAGACCCACCTCAGCCTCGCCTCGCCCAGTTGGGCTCGCTGCCAGCTCCCTGCCAGCTCCCAGAACCACACTTCACCTCCCAGCCTCTCCAGCTCTGCCCTAGAGTCCCATCCACAGAGCCCTGTCTCAGGCCCTGCCTCAGCAAACCTCCCACCCCACCCCAAGATCCCAACCTGTGCCACTGAGCTGCCCCCCAACTGAGCCCACCCTGCCTCTCCCAGCCCACTGAGCCCCACCCTTGTGAGCACCCACCAGCAGCATCTCATACCGGGGCTCCCCTAGGCCACTGCCCTAGGTCTAGCCCCATCAAGCCCGAGGGTCAGCCCTGCCTCTCACTCAACTCTGAGCATCATTCCTTTAGTTTTTGACTTTTTTCTTTCACTTGTATTTTTTATGTGCCTGTGTGCATGTGTATCTATGTGTCTGTATGCCATGTCGTGTGTGTGTGTGTGTGTGTGTGTGGATGCCTTTGGAGGCCAGAAAGGGGGCAGCAGATCCCTCTGGAGCTGGAATTAGAGATGCTTGTGAGCCACCCAGTGCAACCTGAGTACAGGGAACAGGGCGAACCTTGGGTCCTCTGAAGAACAGGAAGTGCCCTTACTCACTGAGCTCTGGCTCCAGTCCCCTTCACCCAGGTTCTCCCACACAGCTCGCCAAAGCTCTCCAGAAGCTGCCCGTCCTCCTTCATCTTGAGCATGAAAATTCTTTTTTTTTTTTTTCCTCATGTCACCTGGGCTGGCTTCAGCCTAGCTACATAGTTGAGGCTGATGGTGAATTCTTTATCCTCCTGCCTGCATATTTCCTGCATGCTCCACCCCTCCCAGCTCCTGGGAAAATTGTTTGCAGCTTTTGCTGAGGTAGCAAATATGTCACAGGGTGCCCCAGCTGAGTACCTGGAACTGGAAGGAGGGCTTCGTGAATGGGGGCCTGCTCTTTGGGGGACAGACTCCTCTGCTCAGGGAAGTGTGTGCAGATTCCCCAGGCTCATCTCTGCGTGTTCTCTCTCTCTCTCTCTCTCTCTCTCTCTCTCTCTCTCTCTCTTTCTCTCTCTCTCATCTAGAATTTAAGACAGATCATTCACTGCCTCCTCTTTACGGCTGATTGCTTGCTAAAAATAGGCACAACTTGCAGCTTCTGCCTTTTAGTCCCTGCTCTGGGAGGTTTGAATTCCCAGTTGCTGGACAGAAAGGCATCAGCTTCTTGGGCCTTCACGGGCCTTGGCGCAGAGAGAACTCTCAAAACCCAATTTCTACTTTTTCTGGTTAAGAAAGATTTTTTTTTTGTTTTTATTAATTTAGTCAATGTGTGTGCACAAATGGGCACCCACTGTGCATGTTGTGAAGGGCAGAGGGCAGTTTGTGGGAGTCTCTTCTCTCCTAGCATCAAACTTAGTCATCCGGCTTGGTGGCAAGCACCTTTACCCCCTGAGCCATCTTGTGTGCTCATCTTCCTCAGTGCTCTTCCTGGAACAGGTCACTGGCTGCGTGCAGGGCCTTCCCTCCTCTCCAGCTGCCAGCTCAGGCTTTCCCCGTAAGTCCCACCAGTCACAAGCCATCTCCTGGCATTCTCTGGGCATCAGCCTTGCCACCTGGGAGCCCGCCCTCCTCTCCACCCACCCCCTCTCCACAGGAAAACCACCATTGTATCCAGATGACTTGGCTCAAGTTTAGGGGCATTCTGGCTCAGATTGATGCCTCTTGTAATACCTCAGTCTCAAGAATTTGATGTGTCTCACCTCTCTCTCTCTCTCTGTTTGGTGTATATGTCTCTCTCTTTCTCTTTAAACCTAGTCACCATCCCTGTCTCAGAGTGACCCTTTGGGAAGGTAGAAGGCATGCATGCATAGTGGAGGCCCTTCCTTCTGCCAGATTGTGCTAGGATTCTGTCAACATGGGGCCTCCAGCTGTTGTCCTCACGGGGAGGCTGATTCATCACATCTGCCTGCCTGTGTTGGTTACTTCTCTAGTTGACCCAGAGTCCGACAGAGCTAACTTAAGGAAGGAAGGCTCACAGTTTGAGGGTACTGTCCAGCATGGAAGGCAGGTCAGGGCAGCAGGAACATGGGGTGGCTGGTCACGTTGTGCCTCAGTCCCCCCCCCCCCAATCAGGAAGCAGGGAAAGATGGATGCTGGGGCTCAGTTCGATTTCTCTTCTTTGATTTCAGCAGTCTGGGAAGCCACTGGGCAGATAGTCCCCATTGAAACTTAATTTAGATAATCCCTCACAGGCTTGCTGAGTGGCTTGCGTCCTGGGGGCTTCTAGATTCCATGAAATCCGGAATGGAGATTTATTCTCACATTGCCTTGTAAGGTCCCCATACAGCACGCCTGTCCTGTTTGAGATCTTCTGTGTCCCTGTTAGTACTGCTCATGTGGCCAGCTCTAAACCCATGGCCCCTGCAGGTCCTGCAGCACAATGGGTGAACTGACTGTCACTAGCCTGCTTCCTGGAAACAGTGCCTGCTCAGAGGAGATGCTCCATAAATATTTGTGGAATAGAGGAGTCAGAGAGAGGGAGCACAGGTCCCTGAGAATGGAGGCAGAAGGTTCTGGGAGATCTCTGCAAACACTAATGTGTTGGTCAATGTTCCTCCAGAAAAGATAACGTGAGGAAAATGTATTAAGACAGTTGTTTATAGAAGCGTGCAGGGGTCCACACGGGATTTTCTAATCCCCCAGCGCTAGGGCCACTCAGGGACACCCAGCCCTTGGCCAGAGGGAGCTTGGGAGTTAGCAGTTACTGGAAGTTGGGGGTAGTGACCACGTGGAGAAGGCCATCTTGACAGGATCTGTGACCTTCAGTTTGGGAACTTTGCAGTCAGGGGTCGCTGGAGGGAGAGGGCCAGAAGATGAAATGGATCACAGCCCTCCTCTTAGCTTCCCACCGGGCTCCTCATGGCTAGTGTCTGAGCCAGCCAGAGCTCAGGGTCCACTGTAAATGCTGGCCTCCGGGGGCTTAGATGGTGCAGGCAGTGGAGAGTAGACACCAAGACTCATCAGAATGGCTGCTCCAGGTCTTGAAAGGCCTTGAAAAGGCATTGCTCTCTTAACTGGAAATACCATTTAGGTAAAAAAGGAAGCATGGGACTCTCTGCAGAGGCTAGTGCCCTGCCTGGCATGCAGCAGGCTTGGAGCCCCATCAGTGAATAAGACTGGCTGTATTCATGCATGCCTGTGATCCCTCCTCAGAAGTTCAAGGTTATTGTCAACCTTAAGGCTAGCCTAAGCTACATAAGAGTAGGTTAAGGAAGGAAGGAAAGGAAGGAAGGAGGGAGGGAGGGAAGGAAGGAAGGAGGGAGGGAAGGAAGGAGGGAAGGAAGGAGGGAGGGAAGGAAGGAAGGAAGGAAGGAGGGAGGGAAGGAAGGAAGGAGGGAGGGAGGCAGGGAGGAAGGAAGGGAGGGAAGAAAGGAAGGAGGGAAGGAAAGGAAAGAGGAAAGGAAAGAGGGAAGGAAGGGAGAGAAGTTACTGAAGTGAAGCTCTCAGTTGTAAGGCTCTCGGCCCTGTCTGACTGGAGTCTGTACACGTAGGCCAATGACCTCCCAAAGGCCATCGCTGCGGCCCACACCTATCTTCTGAAGCATCCTGATGACGAGATGATGAAGAGAAACATGGCCTATTACAAGAGCCTGCCTGGAGCCGAGGACCACATCAAAGACTTGGAAACCAAGTCGTACGAGGTACTCTATGACATCATCCAGCAGTGGATGGAGGACTCTGGGAGCAACTAATTTTTTTTTTTAATTACATTCTATTTAGTGTGTGTGTGGGTGTGTGTGTGTAGAGGTATGACATATCCCTTGTGTGGAAGTCAGAGGACAATTTGTGGTTCTCCTTTGTGACCATGTGTGTGTGGGTCTGGGGGATTGAATTCAGGTCGTCAGGCTTGGTTGCAAGTGCCATTATCCACTGAGCTATTGCCCTGGCCTGGATGCTGACATCTAAAGAATGTTGTGATATTTTCAGTGATATTTGCTGAATTCTGACAGTAGGAAACTGGAGAAACACAAAATTTCCATGAAGGGAAATCATCAAATTGGGCAGGGTGGCTTTTGCCTGTAACCTCAGCCATTCGGAGGCCCGAGGCATTAATGATGGCTGCAGGTTCAAAGCCAGGCTGGGCCACATGCACCACAAGCCTTTTTAGCTAACTGTTGATGAACTATATATAATTCAGTGATCTGTGGCAACTTCATGTGTCGTGTGGCAGTTACAGAGCGTGGTGAGGAATCTTGTTGCCACCCAGCCTGACTGACACATTTCCTCCTGTCCCTTTGCAGTCAGGCTGCCACCACCCCAGCCTGACCCAGGGAATCACTGATCCAATTTCTTTCACTTTTTCCCTGATCTGAATTTGATCTTATTGTCAAATACTTGCTATATTTTGAGTTGAACTGAAGATGAAATATAGTTGTTTGGTCTGGGGAGTGTAGCTCGGTGGTAGAGTATTTGCATACATGCACAGAGCCCTGGGTTCAGTTCCCACCGTTGTATAAAACTGGGTATGGTGGTGCATACCTGTGAGTCCAGCACACAGAGGTTCAAGGTCCAGCTGGCAAGATGGCTTAGTGGGTTGATTTTTGTTGTTGTTGCCAAACCTGGGGAGTGTCCTGAGTTCTATCCCCAGGACCCACAGTTTGGTAGGAGAAAACTATCTCTTCTAAGAGCGTGCGTGTGCACACACACACACACACACACACACACAAGAATGTAAAAGTAAAATTTTAGAAAGGAGGTCAAGCACATCTTTAGGTACACAGGGATTTGAAGTCAGCTGGGGCTTCCCGAGACTCTGTTTTTGTTTTGTTTTTAAATATTTATTTATTTTAAGATATTTATTTATTTTATGTATATGAGTACGTTTTCACTGTCTTCAGACACACCAGAAAGGGCATCAGATTCCATTACAGATGGTTGTGAGCCACCATGTGGTTGCTGGGAATTGAACTCAGGACCTCTGGAAGAGGAGTTCATGCTCTTAACCACTGAGCCATCTCTCCAGCACCCCGAGACTCTGTTTTTTAAAAAATGTGTCCGTTGTGAACACTGTAGGCAAATCTAGATCCACACACAGCAGTGCTTGGTATGCGTCCGGTCAAGGGTCATCCAGGACCGAGGAAGCTCGGCTTTGGTCAGGGTCGTGGTTCTTTTTGGGGGACAAGCGTGTCTCCGGTTTGCCAGAGGGAGCTTCACCGCACGTTCTTGCTTTGCAGAGCCTCTTTGTCCGTGCGGTGCGGGCCTACAACGGGGAGAATTGGAGGACGTCCATTTCCGACATGGAGCTGGCCCTTCCTGACTTCTTCAAGGCCTTTTACGAGTGCCTGGCTGCTTGCGAGGGGTCGAGGGAGATCAAGGACTTCAAGGACTTCTACCTGTCCATAGCAGGTCGGTTATGGGCGAGGTTATGGGCGGGGTCTGTGCGGCAGATGCTTGGATTGGCTTCTAAGGAACCCTTTTATTTTTTAAGAAAGGAAAGAAACTTTTTTTCTTTTTGACAGGATCTTACTGTGTATACGAGGCTGGGCTGGCTGTTACATAGACCAGGCTGGTCTCAAACTCACAAAAATCTTCCTGGCTCTGCCTGCTGGGTGCTGGGATTAAAGGCATGGACCAGTTTAGATTTGGGTTTGATATGGTGGACTTCTTGGGCATTGTGGTGGCGCTTATTTTTTTCTTTATTGGTATATGAACGGAATATTTCCTCTCTCTTGTTTCCTATCCCTGATGATCCCACTGTGTTTTTAATCCATTGAATCTTTCTAGTGTTCCTGCCTCTGTGTTTCTGTCTATGGCCTTGTTTCTCATCCACATTGCTGCCTTTCTTTCTATGCTGTCGACTTTCTCTGTCTTTTTTCTTGAGACAGGGGTTTCTCTGTGTAGTCCTGGCTGACTTAGACTCACTCTGTAGACCAGGCTGCCCCAAACTCAGAGATCTGCCTCCCTCTGCCTCCCAAGGCTTGGGACCACCCCCCTGCTTGGTAACTTTCTTGTCAACACCCTGAATTGATTTCCCTGCCCTGTTCATCCACTTGCATGTCTCTTCAGTCACTGGTCATTTTTAGGTAGAGATGTCTGAATTCTTTGTTCAGCATTTTAACTGTCCTGTTAGCTCTGGACTCAGTGGTTGAGAGTCAGAGGCTCTCGGAGGTTTTATGCCCGGCCATGCTTTCCCGTGTTCACGTGTTCACTGTGTTGTGTTCTCTAGTTCTGTTTGGGGATCTTCTCAGAGAGCACCCTGCCCCATTACTACATGCAGAAGAGAAATCAAATCACCTGCTTCTTTGTGTCCAATGCTGGTCTTTTCTCCAAACTTTAAACAGAATTTTACAGTGTTTTTCTAATTATTTATTTTCCATTTACTTATTTGCATGTGCGTGTGTATATGTGTGTATTTATTTGTGTGTGTGTGTGTGTGTGCGCGCGCCTGTGTGTACTTATTTGTGTGTGTGCGTGTATATGTATGCATGTGTACTTATTTGCATATGTGAACTTATTTGTGTGTGTATGCATGTGTGTGTGTGTACTTGTTTGTGTGTGCATGTATGTGCGTGTGCATGTGCATGTGTGTGTTTGCCTGTCCGCCATGACACACATGTGGAAGTCAGAGGACGATTTGTGGAATCAGTTTCTTCTTTCCACCACGTAGGTATTGTCGGGTATTCAGGTTTAGCTGCAAGCACCTTTACGCACGTTGAGCTATTTTCATTTCTTTTTTTTTTTTTTTTTTCTTGAGACAGGGTTTCTCTGTGTAGCCCTGGCTGTCCTGGAACTCACTTTGTGGCTAGGATGGCCTCGAACTCAGAAATCCACCTGCCTCTGCCTCCCATATTTTTCATTTCTTTATTTTGTGTATGCACGTTCTTGCACACATATGCTGTGGTGTGCCTGTAGAGGTCAGAAGACAATTTACAGGTCTGGTTCTTTCTTTGCCATGTGGGACCCAGGGATCAAACTCAGACCATCCAGTCTTCGGCAGGTGCTCTTACCCAGTGAACCATCTTGCTGACCTGTAAACACAGTTTTGAAGGAAAGTTTCCTGGCTGCCATCTTCTGCATCTGCAAGGCTGCTACCTCCAGCAGGTTCCACATCACAGCCGGCCACTGGCGCCAACAGTGCTTCTAAGACTTCTAAGCCAATTACTATGTAAATGGTTCTCCTTTGGGCTTGTCGTGGCGGCACTCACCTTTAATCCCAGCTGTAGGATCCCTGTGACTTCCAGGACAGTCAGAGCCACATAGTAAGGCCTTTTCTCAAACAGCAACAACAAAAACAAACAAGATATCCTTCTTTGGTTTCTGACAGTTACATTGGGAGTTCCGGTTTTGGCCGGGACAGCTAGAAGTGGCCTTAGAATGTCACACGCAGACTTGTGTGATATCTGCTTCTCTCTTATCAGAGGTGCTATTTATTTTATTTGATTTTTTTTATGGCAACGCCGGGGATTGAACCTAGGGCCTCACATATGCTCTGTAAATGTTTAACCATGGTTACTGCTCCGTCTCTGCCCAGTGCTGTTAATTTTTAAGCATTAGTTAAAGTATTTTCTGCTTCTGCTGAAGCAGGGTGGATATATCACCTCACGAGTTATATGTTAACAGCAGGACCCTAAGGACATCACGGTCCCTGCGTGCGTCTCCTCAGTTCCAGCTTCACCCTTGAGAAGTCTTGCTGATAACACTTTTTTTCTATAAAAGTCACCCATACATAAATAAATATTTCCTCCGGATTTTACAGTCTCTTCTGGTTTTCATTTTCTTCCATCTTGTATATTCAAGTTCACATATAAGACTTACATTATTTGGGTTTGGGGGTGCATCTCTGTTGATAAAAAACAGAAAAAAGTAACAACAACAATCAAAACAAATTGTCAAGTCGATAGAAAAAAGAAGTGAGATATTGTCTCATGTAGCTCAGGCTAGCTTTGAACTCCTATGTAGCCAAGGATGACCTCAACCTCCTCATCCTCCTGGCTCTACCTCGTGATTCCCAGGTGCTGGGATAACAGGCGTGCGCTACATAACTAGATAATGCACAAGTTGTGAGCCACCCTGTGGTGCTGGGATTTGAACCTGGGTCCTCCAGAAGAACAGTTGGTGTTCACCATGCAGCTATCCCTGCAGCCACGAGTTTTTTTTTTATTTTAAATGTTGCATTTTCCTCTTTTTATCTCCATGTGTGTGGAAGGCAGAACTATAATAGAAGAGAGAGCAAGAGAGAGTGTGAAGGGGAGGGGGAGACACAGACGCGGGGTTGGGGGGGAGAGAAGGGACACAGAGATAGACAGACCGACCATTTTAAGAATTTATATCTGTTTTTTCAGATCACTATGTGGAAGTTCTGGAGTGTAAGATTCATTGTGAGGAGACCCTCACCCCAGTCATAGGAGGCTATCCTGTGGAGAAGTTTGTGGCTACCATGTACCACTACTTGCAGTTTGCTTATTATAAGTGTAAGTAACCCTGTGCCGGATCTCCATGCTTACCTGTGGTGGCTGAGAAGGCTCACCAAAGGCTGTGCTGTGCACGAAGAGGTCTTGTGGCTCCTTGATTCAAGCAGAGACCCTGAGCCTGGCTGCCGAGCTGGAACTCTGGGTTTTTCCTGCTCTTCTCGGGAGATTTTTGCTTTCCAGGGTTGAGATAAATAGTGTAAGTAAAATTTAGCGCCTTCACCAGCCACACAGGGTGTGTGCAGGAAGAGCCTTAAGGTTGTCATTATAGGAAATGACCACTAGGTGGCAGAATTGAGCCATCTTCAGCGGGGTCAGTCCTGCCAGAGTTTTGCTAAATAAGTGTCTTTGTTTTGTAAATTAGAAGTGGCTCTGTAAAGTACCAGAGTAAATACCTTGGGGCTTCTGTCTCATTTCTTCTTTGCCTGACTCCCCTGCTTCCCAAGACAAATGCCACCTGGCAGAATCCCCATGTCCATGGTGATGTAGAGATGGTCCAGTTCTAAACAGGGAGGCAGGAGCAGGGAGCCCCTGTTCCCAGAAGATGGCAGGACAAGGTCACCTTTGACTCTTCTAGTCCTGAGGGCCTATCATGATTTATCTCGTTGGTTTCTGTAATATGGGGTCTTTATTTATGTGGTATGTTTATTTATGTATTTAGAAACTCCGTCTCATAAGCCAAGGCTAGCCTCAAACTTACTGTATAGCTGAGGATGGCCTTGATTATTGATCCTCCTGCCTCCTCCCAAATGCTGGGGATGTATCTGCACTTGCTATTATATTATTAATATATATATATATATATATATATATATATATATATATATATAATATTGTTTATATTTTAAGTTAGTCTATTAATTTATTATTAACGTACACACACATATAATTATGCATAGTTTATGAAGAACTAGGTATAGGGATTGAACCCCCGGCTCCATGGCTCATTGGTAGCAAGCACACTACCAATTGAGCTATATCTCCCGCCTTTCTTTCTGTCTTTCAAGTTTGGTTTGGTTAGAGGAGGGCCTGCCCTCTCTGGGGATTGTTCTAGCCAGATGGGACCCAGAAGCTGCAGCTTCCAGCAGGAAGCCTGTAGTTAAGCCGTCTCTGTCCTCCTCAGTCCCAGTGTGGCCCAGACCTTGAGACCCATCACCTCCTGTGACACGCTCTGATTGTCTGAAGTCGGCAGAGTCAGCACAGCCTGAGCCCACTTTCTGAGATCTTTTCCTAGAGGCAGGTCAAGCTTCTAGCTTCCATGGGGGTTGTGGGGGGTAGCATCAGGGAGTTGCAGGGTGTGGCTCTCACCTGCCTGGCCTCTTCTCTCTGGTTGCAGTGAACGATCTGAAGAATGCAGCCCCCTGTGCCGTCAGCTATCTGCTCTTCGACCAGAATGACAAGGTCATGCAACAGAACCTGGTCTACTATCGGTACCACCGGGACAAGTGGGGCCTCTCAGATGAGCACTTCCAGCCTAGACCGGTGAGCGACCCCCACTGGGTCCTACTCACCAGTCCCTCTTCCTCACCTGTGGGAGATTGGTTTTGCCCTTCAGAGAGATTCCGCTCTGAAATGAAGGAACTCCACTGTTTCTGGTTACTGTTGGCACCCCTTCCCCTCCTGAGTCAGGTCCTGGCTCTGTAGCCCTGACTGACCCAGAAGTCACTGAGTGGACCAGGCTGGCCTTGAACTCAGAGAGACCCCTTTGCTTTTCTGCCTCCTGAATGCTGGGATCACAGGCATATGCCATCACACCCTGATTAATTTTTTTTTTATATTTTTATTTATCTGCTGTGTGTATGTATGTGGGCCTACACATGCAACAGCATGCAGTGGGGTCAGAGGATGACTTGTGAGAATCAGGTCTCTCCTTTCTGCTGTGTGGGTCCCAGGGATTGAACTCAAGTGGTCAGCTTGGCAGCAGGCACCTTTACACTCTCTAGGCCCACACGGCTTTTTAATTCCTTCTCTGAGTCCAGGTATTTACTTATGCATTTATTGTTACAAAAATAGGATTTGACGTCACATGCTGGTGTTGTGACTTACTTGGTGTCTCCAGTCCCCCTTCTTATGGTATTAGAAGCCAGGGGCTTCTTACATGTTAGGCAAGTGCTCCATCATTGTACCTTCAGACCTAAAGCCCAGATCTTTGGAGATAGGGTTTTGCTATCTAGTTTAGGCTGGTTTCAAATTTGTAACCCTCCTGCCTCTGCCTCCCAAGTGTTGAGGTTATAGACTTTTTGTTTTGTTTTGTTTGTTTGTTTGTTTGTTTGTTTGTTTTTGAGACAGGGTTTCTCTGTGTAGCCCTGGCTGTCCTGGAACTCACTCTGTAGACCAGGCTGGCCTGGAACTCAGAGATCTGCCTGCCTTTGCCTCCCAAGTGCTGGGATTAAAGGCGTGTGCCACCACTGCCTGGCAGGATTATAGACTTTTATGAGTGAAATATCACTTTATTCCTTCAATAGATAAATTTAAGACTTTATACTTATTGTCAGGGGGTTAATTATATGTGACCTTCAAAAACTATTCGCCACTGTTGGGCATGGTGGCATGTGGCTGTAATTCTAACACTCTGGATGTAAAGGTGAGAGGATTCTCATTATTAAGTTTGAGGATAGCTTGGGCTACAGAGCAATACCCTTGGGCTGAAGAGATGGCTCAGCGGTTAAGAGCACCGACTCCTCTTTCAGAGGTTCTGAGTTCAATTCCCAGCAACCACATGGTGGCTGACAACCATCTGTAATAGGATCTGATGCCCTATTCTGGTGTGTCTGAAGACAGCTACAGTGTGCTCATATACATGAAATAAATAAATAAATCTTTAAAAAAAAAAAGCAATACCTTAAAGACCCAATAAAACAGAAACAAAGATTTTTTTCTATTCAGTTTTTTTTTAATGCTGTCCTAGGTTTTCATAAATAAATCTTCCGTGTTTCAATTCCTCCCTAACGCACACAGGCACGCATTTCCTCAGTTGCTATGATTTTGTTGTTGTTGTTGGTTTTGCTATGAGGAGAAAACCCAGGACCACATGCGTGCTAGTCACGTGCTCTGCCATTTTATTTATGACAGCATCTCATGTAGCCTGGGCTGGCCTTGAACTTCTCCTGTCTCTACCTTCCAAGGTCCAGGATTACACGCATGCACCACCACACTTGGCTTAGGCTGTGTTGTGTTGGGGATGGGTCCCGGGGTGTGAGCATACCAAGCGAGCCTGACACCAACTGAGCTTTAGCCCAGAACCTCCCCCTCCCTTTAAGAACCACGGTACCGTGTTTATATATCATGGAATCCACCTTTGTGTCTGCATACTTCGGTGCCTGATGGGTTACGTTCACACTCACAATCTTTCCTAGTGCATGCTCGTTAACCCTTTATCCCTTGAATGAAATCTAGTACCCTGTGCCACTTGCTGCCGGTCTCTCACATGAGAAGTCTGGTCACCTGACAGTTCTCTCTGTGTCCGAACAGGAAGCGGTTCAGTTCTTTAACGTGACTACACTCCAAAAAGAACTGTATGACTTCGCCCAGGAACACCTGATGGACGACGATGAGGTAAGGTTTTGTGCCACGAAAACGTGACTCATGTCTCTGCTAGAGTCTCTTGAAGGCTGGGTCCTTCCAGTAAGAAGCAGAAGGACCCTCAAGAAAACAGCTGCTGTTGGGGTTTTAATGAAAGCCAGTGCTCTGGTGTGGAAAAGCCCAGAGCTGGAAGCCCAGGCTGGACCGACACTTCTCCTGTGGGGGAAATGTGTTTGGAGTATGCACCAGGTGCACACACACACACACACACACACGTGTTTGTGTGTGTTTGTGTGTGTGTGTGTGTGTGTGTGTGAGAGAGAGAGAGAGAGAGAGAGAGAGAGAGAGAGAGAGAGGTGTATGAGAGAGAGGTGTGTGAGAGAGGGAGAAGTGTGTGTGTGAGAGAGAGAGAGAGAGAGAGAGAAAAGGAGAGAGACAGAGAGACACAGAGACACAGAGAGAGAGAGAGAGAGAAAGAGAGAGAGAGAGAGAGAGAGAGAGAGATGGGTTGGAGGCATTGTCACTGAGCTCTGTGGAGTCAGTCTCTGCTTCCACCTTTTGTGGGTCCCAGGGATTGAATTCAGGTCACCATACTTGCAGGGAAACCACTCTACCCACTGAGCCGTCTTGCCGGCCCCACACCGTATTTTAAAGCAGAATCTTTCACAGAACCTGGAGTCTATTTATTCAGCTAGACTGACCGTGCAGTAAGCTCCCCAGATCTTCCTTTCTCTGTTGTCTCCCCAGCGTTGAGGTGACAGACACGTGCCCTTGTGCTTCTGTGCTGTGCACATGCTTTCTGGAAACTGGACCTTAGGCCCTCAAGCTTGAGTGGCAGGCCTTTTCCCATGGACTTGTCTCTCCAGCTCCCCACATTTTTTCTGGAGATAAGGTCTTGCCATGTAGCCCAGGTTAGCTTTACCTGCCCTCTTTCCTGCCCCAAGTCCAAAGCTATAAACTATAGGTATGTCTCACCATGCCCTTTTTTTGGTTTTATTTACATTTGTTTTTTTGTTTGTTTGTTTGTTTACTTATTTATGTGGGGAAGGGGGCAGGGGCATGCTATAGCATCATCACAGTGGTCAGAAGACAGTTTGAGGGAGACAGTCCTCTCCGTCTGCCATGTGGGTGCCAGGGATCAAACTCAGGTCACTAGGCTCCATAGCAAACACCTTCACCCACTGAGCCATCTCGAAGGCCCCCACACCGCCATTTTTGAGAAGTGTAGTGAGTCTTATTCGTTCTGTACTCTGAAGACACTCATAAATCCCATCCCATTTTCCTACCAGGTTATTGTAATTTTATGGATGTAAACTGTATCCTTGCTTCCAGGAGTGCACCCTCTTCTGGAAGTTGATTTTCTGACTACATCTCCCTTAGCCAACCCCTTTCTTTGTTTGTTTGTTTGATGTATCTTGTCATTTAGACAATGTCTCACGTAGCACAAGCTGGCCCCCAGCTTGCATTGTAGCTGAGGTGAAGTTCTGGCCCTCTTGCTGGGACCTCTCAAGTTCTGGCATTACCAACATGCACTACCACACCCAGTTTATTCTTATACTGAGCGTCAGCTCCGGGCTTGGTACCGTCACACCCAGTTTATTCTGATAGTGGGCATCAGGTTAGGACCACATGCCTCTACCTACTGTATGTTACATTCTTCCTCAGTGCCAGCTTCTTTCCTGACCCATCCTCACCAAGAGTGGCATGGTTGTTTTGTGGAGAGGCAGCCAGGCCACAGAAAAACCATCAGTAGAAACCCCTTCTTATATACTTAGAGAGATGTGATTGGAAGGAACTCGAAAATGCTTTGTAAGAAAGTTGGGGACTCAATGTGTTTGGAGCGGTAAGAGATCTGGGGGCTTGTTCTGCTCTGACCCATTGCATCCTGGGAGAGCCAGGAGGATGAGAGATGCTGGGCCAGACCAGAGGCTTTTAAGCTGCCTCTGCCCCGCAGCTCCGCTCTACCTCCCACTCCTCTTACCGCTATGAGTGAGACATGGTCAGGGAAGTTTCGCCGTGCTGATCCGCATGGTCTGTCATGGTCACTCAGGAATAAATAGTGAAATAGGAGTGACCATAACTGTCAACACCAGTTGTTATGAAAGTTCTGTGCACGTGAGAAAGTGGGGGCCTGCGGGTACAGCTCAGTGGTATAGCATTTACCTGGCATGCTCAAAGGCCTGGGTTCAATCCCCAGGGCTGCCAAACTAATGAATTAATAAAGATGCTTAGGCCTGCGCCTTAGGCTGGGTCTCATTGAAGAGAGTCCCAGGGATGCTGCCGTCAGAGCTGGTACCTAACATACCAACGTTCCTACGTGGCTTGAGTGCTTGGAAAGAGTGGGCTGCTCAAGGTGGAAAGTACTGGAAAGTACTGGAAAGTACTGGAAAGTACTGGAAAGTACTGGAAGGATGTATTTCTGAGGCAGAACCAAGGGACCAGGAGGAAGATGGAGAGGTGCCCAGTGCAGAGAACCCTGTGGAGCCCTTCAGGGCGGTAGCTAGACCACCTACTGGACACTGGTCATCATCTGTGGGGTGGCAGGCTGCTTGATGCTGAGGCTCTCATGGGAGAAAAACATCAGGTCATCTGGGCTTCAAACCAGTGGGGGAACTTGCTTGAGCCTGAGTAGTCAGCCATTGGTGGCCTCTGGGAAACTCTCTTCCTGTCTCTGACACCTTCCATGCCCTGTGGCCTGCCTAACTGAGGTGTCTGCCATCTCTTACAGGGAGAGGTTGTGGAGTATGTGGACGACCTGTTGGAGATGGAAGAATCCGTTTAGTCCATGGCGGCTGAGGAGCTTCTCCTCCATGCTCCTCTTTCCTCAAGTGCCTGGGTTGTTGATACCTCACAACCTTCCCTTTTTAAAGTAGGAGGGAAGCCATCATCTCTCCCTACCAAGGACAAGCCTGCCTTCCCCGTGTTCACACCTGTCCACTCGACTTCCCACCTGCCTTCTCAGTATTCACACTTGTCTTCATGGTTACACGTCTTCACACATGCCCTCCCGTCATCTAGTCTGTCCTCTCCGTGGCCACGTGTCTCCCCTCTGATCCCACGTGTCTCCCCCATGTTCAGAAAGACAGTCTTCTGTGGTCTGTGTTTTAATCCCCGAAGAAAATCAGTATTATTTTTTAAGTAAGAAAAACACTAAAAGATGATAAATATATTTGAAGAATTCCTTTGGTCTCTCCATCTTTCCGTACTTTGTCCCCCCTTACACCACTTGTTAAAGACGAACCGTGGCGGAAGACAAAGGCTAGCTCAGAGCCTCAGAATCACCTTCCCTTGGTCTGACCTGAGCCCCTTCTTGCACCCACTGAGAAGCAAATTGAGCAGATGCTTAGAACACCCTTATTCTCCAAAAGGGTTGTGGGATTCCTGTTTCGAATTAGGCATTTGACTGACAGCAGAGGTCCCACACAGTATAACCAAAGGAAAAGCTGCATTAGTTCCTGGTCTGGGAGCTGCAACAGAATACTTGACAGAAGCAACACGAGGGAGGGTTTGTCTGACTCACAGTAAGACGGTGGGCCCCATCATGAGGTCATGTCAGTGGGAGGTCGAGATGGCGGTGGGGGGTAGGTCACGGGTTGGGGAGGGGCAGGAGGTCACGGAGGTGGGAAGTCACGATGGTGGTGCAGGGGTGGGGTTGGGGGGGAAGGTCACAGTTGGCAAGAGGTCACAGCAGCTTAAGGTCGTGGTGGAGGGGGGTCATGGGCGCTGGAGCATTTGCAGGCAGGAAGTAGAATGCTGGCGCTGGGCTCACTTCCTCTTTATTCCACCTGGGATCCAGCTCCCAGACAGGCGCTGCCCGCTTTTACAGCGGGCTTTCTCACTGTAAATGTAAGGTAACCTAGGATCTGACTCTCAGGCCTGGAGACTTGAGTCTTGGGTGATTCTGAATCCTGTCATGTTGACCTCTGATGTTAACCACCACCCTGTCCTCACAGCTTAGAATCTGCAGGAAGAGGGACGCTCATGGCTTCGTAGGAACCGAGGCATCCTAGGTGTAGGATGCTGACTGGAGAACAAGGAAGCAGGGAAGAGCAGGGGTTGGAATGAGGGTGAAGTGCTGTCAGGCTGACTGAGAAGTTGAAATTGACCTTGGGACATCAGGTCTCAGGGTACAGAGATTGTCGATCTGGGAAGCTACAGGGAGGCCTGAAGAGAGGCATGGGCCAGGGACCTAGGAGGGAAGGCTGGGCCGACATGTGGGCCGGAGACAGATCCCTGGGGTCCTGACAGAATGTGGAAAGGTTTTTGAGTTGTGCTGAAGGGTGCCAACACTTCAGGTTGCACAGAGGAGTGTCTGCAGGCTCCACAGTTGTGGCCCTGCCTCAGGAAACCTGAGCACATGGAGAGAGGGAGGGGGAAGGGGCAAGGGGACCGAGGGGGAGATTAAGAGAGAGCAAGAGAGAGAGGAGGGCGCAAGCAGCCCCTGTTATAGTGGGCCTGGCCTACCTGGCTGTTGCCAGGTAACTGTGGGGGTGGAGTTTAGACAGAATGCTAATAATTTCTCTCTCTCTCTCTCTGTGTGTGTGTGTGTTTTCGCGGGGGTGGGGTGGGGGGAGGAGAGAGGGGTTCTGCTTGAGTTCCTGCCCTGGCCTGCTTCAGTGATGGACTGTAACCTGTAAGTTGAAATAACCTTTTCCTCCTGTTAAGTTTCTCTCTATCCAAGTGTCTTTATCACAGCAACAGAAGGAAACTAGAACAGCATAGAAGAGTAGATTCCACTTCCTTGCCTTGCCCCACCCACTGTTCTAACAGAGAAACTTCATTGGGGGAACTGGGTTAAGAGTCACTCGGCAGCAAGGAGGCAGGACTGGGGCGTGGCCGGGCTCAGACTAAAAGCTGTCCCAGAATTCCAGAGAAACTAGTGGCTGCTGAATTTGCCTGAGGCTGTACTGACAACTACAGATGCTCACACATCTCTGGGGCCCTTAAAGTGCCCGCTTGGCCCTTGTCCTTGGAATTAGGGTGAACATTTGCAAATAATATGGTTACGGTTTGAATTGGAGACTTGAAAAGTTGGTTACCCGATTTAGCAGTGTGTCCCTTGGTGACAGTATGTTCAAGGCTGACAATGCTGTGGTTTGAAATGCTACAGTTTGTTTAGTTGGGGCAGGACCTTGTTCTGGCTGGCCTAGAAGTTGCTATGTAGTCTTCTTGCCTTAGCATTCTGAATGCTGGGATGATAAGCATGCACAACCCGATCCAGTGAAATTATTTTATTTCAAGGGAAACCAAATCTCTCTTAAAAAAATAAATGTGAACTTGTTTCTTTGTATCTACCATGCAATCTCTCGGTGGCTTCGGCCAATGCCTTCCTGCCTCTAATTCTTGGAAGAGCCTTGAAGGTCTTTGAATTCCATAGGGTCAGCAACAGCTTGGTCTATTCTTTTGGGAAAAAAAAAAGTTTTCTTGTAAAGCATGCAGTGTAAATTTATGGGCGTTTCCATGTCTGCGCTGAGATGGTTTATTTATCCTCTGTCCCCCCACCCCCAGCATGGAGCTATCCATGAGTGACCCTATCACAGTGTGGCATCTGAGTGTCACACCCTACAGGGTATCGCTTGTGGCCACTCAGACTCAATTTATAATCTGGTTTTGTGTTTTGAGATCTGGAGCCTTGCTTTATAGCCCAAGATGGTCTTGAACTCAAGGTAATCCTTCTGTTTCAGTCTCCCAAGTGCTGGGGTGATGGGTGTGAACCCCACACCAGTCTTAGACTTGACTTCCAGAGAGGAGAAATGACAAGGAAAAGTTAGTGTACACACATACACGTAAGGTTGACCAAAAGCCTGCCAGATTCAAGATTACTTCTTGTTGTTTTGAGACAGGGTCAAACTATGTAGCCCTGCCTAGTTTAGAATTTGCTCCGTATGTAGACCAGGCTGGCCTCAAAGTCACACAGATCCACGTGCCTCTACCTGCTGAGTGCAGGGATTAAAGGGGTGAGTCAACACACAGATTCTTTTTTTTTTCACACAGATTCTTTTTCCTTTTCTTTCTTTCTTTTCTTTCAAGCTGAAGATGACCTTGAACTCCTGATCCTCCTGCCTTTAATCAAGTGCTGGGATTACAGGTGTGAGCCATCATCATTGAAGAAAAAGGAATCGTGTTTGTGTGTGCGTGAGAACGTGTGTGCGGTATTGGGGATTGAACTTGGGGCCTTGGGCATGCACTCAACTAGTCAACTATGTCCCCAGCCCAGAACACTAGGTTCAATATCCAAGTATCTTTCTGAGTTCAAGGCATTCTGATGGTCCCTAACTGGGGCTCCACTCACCTCAGGGATCCAGGAGAGCTGCTGGGAACGTTAGCCACAAAGGCTGCCCTAGGAAGGAAACGTGTGCTCTTAGGAGCCCTTATTAAGGGAATGTTAAGCACAAAAATTTTATTGAACACAACCCAGTGGCAAACAGAAAAAGATCTGTTAGATTGTCAGTGGGCAGGGGTTTATTATAGCCACTGGGGAGTGAACAGTGGCCGGTCTCTGCCAACTTTTATGAAAATAACTTTAAAAAAAAAGTTTTAAATGTGAACTGCAAACCAAAGCTACTTCGTTGTTTTTTTTTTTTTTTTTTTAAATCAATACTTAAACTGTGGGGAGAAGATGGATTGGTGCCAGAGAAAACACTCTCACTTAATAGTGTTTGAACATGGGATGGCAGCGCCTTCGGTAACGAGGCTGTGAGAAGAAACCACAACTAATCGTTCATCGCAGCTGTCTGAATTCTTGATCATCTGCCATCCCCCAGACAGCGACTTCTTTTTTCTGGTGACTCCAGACTTGAATGACCTAGTGTGGGGAGTAGAAACTATGTACAAGGGGGTGGGGTAGGGAGAACCTTAAGTGAGCCCTAGTCAAAAGGTTTATGTATTGCCCTTCCTGTCTGCAGCCAGGGGCAGCACCAGTCCCCGTCTGCCTTGGTAGCATGTTCCCACAAGAACAGACACCAGGGTAGCTCAGGTTTGCATGGGCTGACCCACTCAAACCCACTCAGGGCAGCATGGGCTGACCCACTCAAACCTAGCTAGGCAGCAATACTGTGCAAGTACTTTGTGTATGTGTGTGAGCGTGCTTTGAAAAATCTCTCTTGGTAACATCAACAGCTCTCTCCTAGGCCTCAGAGCATCTACCACATATTCCTGGCTTGGGTCACTTGTGGCTTTGCTTCCGTACCTTCTTGGAGCTGGTACGCAAGATATCAGTGCCTCAGTTTACAAGGTGAAGGTAGCCATAAGTTGTGGTGGTTCATGCCTGTGCAAGGAGGATCACGAGTTCAAGGCTAACATGGGGAGTTCTAGGCTAGCCTGGGCTAAATAGCAGGATTGTATCTTGGAAAAGCAAAAGGAACAGAGGGAGGGCTGGGGAAGCAGTTCAGTTGGCACAATGCTTGCCATACAAACACCGGGGACCTGAGTCCGATGCCAGTGGCGTGTGAGAAGCAGACAGATGTGGTAGTGTGTGGTTATACTCCCAGCACTGGGGAGGTGGGAACAGGCATATTTCTGGGATTCTTTGGCCAGCCAGCCTGCCTAGGTCCCAGAGAAGGACACTGTCTCAAAAGCCACAGCTCCTGAGGGTTGACACTTAAGGTTGACCTCTGTCTGCACAAGAGTGTACACACAAAGGAAAGGGGTTAGTAAATATGGGTGGTAAATGCAAAATAGAGTTTTGTTTCCCACAGTGACGGTGAGCAGCAGCCGAAAATGTTATTTCTGGCCCTGCCTACCCCTAGAGTTAGGGTGGTATGTTCAGTCTCTGTCTTGGAGGAAATTAGAACTTGGAAAATAGTTGGAAAAATAACTTTTTTTCTTTTTTTAAGAAAAGATAGTTTAAGTGTTTTATTTTGGTTATTTCTCACTGTTTTCCTCCATCCACTGGGCTCAGGGATTGTAGCCACACTCTGTCATTCCAGGACGCTACTGCAATGGACTCTGTTCTCTCAAGTCCTGCGGCTTCTGACAGTCACTTTCTAAGGCAGAATTCTTACAGCAGGACTCCTGGGTCTCCCAAAGCTGAGTTGGCTTCTAGACTCCTGGGCTGTCTAGGAATGGGGGAAGCCTAGGAAACCTTTTAGAGGAGATCTGGGGTCCCAGAAGGAAAAATATTTGCAGCATCTTTCAAAGAAGGACCCAGATCATTTTTGGGTGTGAGTTCTGATGGCAGCTG